TGATGGGAGGGAGGCCAAAAGGGCGACTTAAGATTCTTGGAACCCTGAATATGAGCCCTATTATGGGAACCCTTATCCCTACTAAACCCCCATACGCTATAACACCTTTTGGCCTCCTCTGATATACTAGTCGGGTCGGTTTAGGGTTTAGGGTATCTCATACTAGTCGGCTCGGGTACATGGACCCTCAGGGGAAGAGGCAACGGGCCTACGTAGCGAAGATCCTTCGGACAGTCCTCGGCTCGAGTTTGCAGGAGCAGAACTGCGGGTTTGTTGAGGCTTATAGATGGCCCTAAGGGTCCAAAAGACCCGATAATTAGGTACTCGGTTTTAGGATAGTAGTTATGTAGCCCTAAGGGTCCATGTACCCATATAGTATATACATTGGCCTTAATGTAGTCCCTATATAGGTACATTGGGGCCCATGTATCTCTACATGGGCACATGGACCCTTAGGGTAGGTTAGGATTTCGGAGAGTATATGATTACTACTATTTGCTTAAGAACCCCCTAAAAAATAAAAATAATAATCCCTATATTACCCCCATAAGGAATATATTTTTGATTTTTTGATTTTTTGGGGGGTTCTTAAGCAAATAGTAGATTAGATACTTGGACCCTTGAGGTAGGGCTTTGGGGCTCTAGGTTTTGGGGGATTTAGGGCTCTACGGCTCTAGGCCCTTGAGGCTTTGCAGGGCCTTTGAGGCTTTTTGCAGTTTTCGGGAAGTAAGGGGATGTAGGATTTAGAAGTATAGAGGATCAACCCTATATTGGTGGTGCAGTTTACTCTAGAGGCTCTTAAGACTCAGACTTTGGGGTTTAGGCTTTAAGTGTTTGCGGTGGCTTGGGTTTGTCCGCAGGCTACCATTTCGGGATTGCTCATGAATGCTTTAGGGTCTGGGGTGCTAAGCTTTTGGATTCTAGCGTGTGTTTTTCTGCGTTAGGGAGGGGTGTGCGGGTAATTGTAGTAGGATCCCAAATGCATAGAATTAGGTTTGGGGGTATATTACGAAATCATACTACTAATGCTTCAGGCTTCCACATTTGGTCTTTTACGATCTGCGGGCTTTACTTGGAGGGTCATGGGACTTAGTAAGTAAGGTTATAAGTACCCTAATTGGGGTTATAAGTACAATTACCCGAATAATAACCCTAGTTGCTAAGTCCCATGATACTTTAAGCCCAAAACCCCCACAGATTCCCTTCAAGGAACCCTTTAAGTTACGAAGTCCCATGATCCTTTAAGTAAGGTTCTAGGGTTGCAGAGTTGACATCAGAGCCTGTTAAGTGCGCTCCAAGAGGCATCGCTAAGCTGTGGTAAAAGCGGCTCCTCAGCACCTGCGCAAAAGGGTCGCAAGTACCTTACACAATCCTGTATTCTTCATATATACTACATAGTTACATACTGTATAATATACAATATATGAATATATGAATATATATATATATATATATATATATATACACGTATATATACATATATATATAATAAATAAATGAATAAATAAATAAATAAATGAATAAATAAATAAATAAATGAATGAATGAATGAATAAATAAATAAATAAATCAACAAATAAACAAATAAACAAATAAATAAATGAATAAAAAATAAATAAAAATAAATAAATAAATAAACAAATACATAAATAAATAAACAAATAAATAAATAAGTAAATAATTATATATATATACACCTTAGATATTAAAAAATGTATGTAGTAGCAGGTCATGAGACCTTCACAACAAGCCATACACTCTAGGTATCGAAACCCTAACTCGTAATTTGCACGTGCTGCAGCTGCTGGGTAAAAAAACTGCTTCCATTGGCACGAGGCTTGCTTCTTCTGCTCCGAGAAATCAAAATGGGAGTTCCCGAAACTTGGGGGGGGGGTACCTTATTTTGGGGTCCTTATGATAAGGATCCTACTATTTAGGGGACTATACTAGGGTCCCCTTTAAACGGCCAAATATGGGGTCCTTATGATAAGGATCCTACTATTTAGGGGACCATACTAGGGTCCCCTATTTTCGGAATCGCCAAAATCACTGCAGGGTTCAGATTTGTGAGGCCAGGCAGGTGCTTCGACCTACACAGTTGTCAGAAGGTTAGTAAGTAAGGCTCCTTATAGGGTTCCTTAAAGGGGTGTATAAGGGATCTATAGGGTTTCTAGAAGGAGTTCTACAAGGAGGATCATGGGACTTAGTAAGTAAGCTTATAAGCACCCTAATTGCGGTTATAAGTATAGTTACCCTAATTATAACCCTAGCTACTAAGTCCCATGATCCTTTAAACCCCAAACCCACACAGATTCCCTTCAAGGAACCCTTTAAGTTACGAAGTCCCATGATCCTTTAAGTAGGGGTTCGGATGGCTCCCTCAAATCAGCTCATTCTGCATTCCTTAAGGACGAAATGAACCTTAAAAGGGTTTAGGGTTCATATACCATATAGCGATTCATAGTATATGGGTATAGGGCCCCTACTTTTTAGGGTCATTTGGTCCTTCAGGTTCGCCGACTTCTTTGCCGCAGTGAGACAGATCAATCCACCCTCGGTTGGGGCTTGGGTGTAGGCTATGAGGGGTTCCTTTAAGGGTCCCTTTAAAGGGATCTATAGGGATTCTTTAAGGGGACAGGGTTTAGGGCCTACTTGGAAGTTCATGGGTAGTTGTAAGTAGGGTTATAAGTCCCCTAATACGGGTTATAACTGTAGATATCCTACTTATAACCCCACTTATAACTACCCATGAACCTCCAAGTAGACTTTAGAGGTGTTAGATATTGTCGCTAGGCATAGTCATTGCAAAGACCCGACCCCTCCCTGCTGCTCATCTGGGCGTGGAAGGTGGGACTAAGCCATATGCACGCCTGAATGCCTGAAGTAAAACCTTACATACCCGACCCACCATCTCCCGCATCCTCAACCTTATTTTCTCAAACCCCTGAAACCCTTAAGAATCCAAGTTGCCGTTCTCATAACACTGATTGGGTACCTTCCCCATACAGTGACAGTCCATGATAGGGCTACTATTAAGGTCGTAATATATCTGTACTATGAATATTACTCCACTGTTACTCAGTGGGGGCAGTACCCAAAAATAATTACTGACTTGGATCCTGCGAAAGTGCGCATCCCATAGCGGCTGCATTGGAGACTTGGGGCCTTCAAACGGCAAAAAAAAACAACCTGTAGTCTCCATTGTAGCTCGTTTTTGGGGTTACCTTATAGGATCCTTACTATGTAACTGGTTAAACTTAAAGGAACTACAATGGAGACTACAGGAAAGGGCGAAAAAAGGATGCAAAGCAGACAACCCTTGAAACGCGAAAAGGGCCAAACCCTTACGCTAAAGCATTATGCCTACAGCCGGAAATCTTGGGAATCGTCAGCAGCAAACGTTCGACTCAAGGAAGATATCACGGGAATCGTCAGTACCAAAGGTTCGACTCAAGGAAGATATCATAATTAGGGGCCTTCATGATTGGAACAGGACTGCGAAATATGTATAAACAACACGTACCACGAAGGGTTCCCGTGAGGTATACATATGAGGGTTCTGGAAGAGTTTTGGCCCTAAGCCCTACCTACTTGTCGGGTATCATGGGGAACTAAAGCTTAACCTTTTTGGGTATATAGGGATCATATAGGGACTATACTACCCAGAAAAGGTTAAAGGTTACCTATTCGACTACTAGGCCTAAACCCTCAAGATTTTGGGCTTCAGGTTTAGGTTTTAGGGTCGAAGCTAAGGCCGCAGGAGCTCATAGTTGAAGGGCTTTGGGTCAAAAGACTATACCCGAAGGGTCCTAATGCCTTTTTGTTTTCGTACTTCCTATGGTGGATTTACTACAGAAGCCCTACTCTCTGCTATGTAGGTACTTGAAATCCTTGAAGCCTTGAGGATAGTTCCATGGATGGCTTGGAAGCTTCCTAGCTTCCATCATCTGCTGCAGCATCCAGATAGCAAGATTCTATCAGGGCTGTACATGGCTTCTGTACAGGTTCACACAAGGGGGAGTAGGGTCCAAGCATTTTAGCAAGTTGTCGAGTTTGGCTATCAACAAAAGATTCAGAGCATGGGCACCTAAACATTGCAGTTTAGGTTTGATTATCTGAACTCCCGCATTGGTTTAGGCGCTGTTAAGGCTTACGGCTCCAGGGCTATCCGGCGAAGATCTTAGAGTTTACAGGTCAGTGAGACGACGAACCACAACAACCCTAAACCCTAAACCCTGAACCCTGAACCCTGAATTCTAAACCCTAAACCCTGAACCCTAAACCCTAAACCGCAACGCTTTTTGAGACGCTGGCAGGAAAGTCCTGTGGGCAACGAGGTCTCGGCTCACTTCTCCCAATGGGAGGAAGTCCGAACCCTAAGGGTCCATGTATCCATATAGTTAAGGGATCCTTTAAGGGTACCATACGGGATCGTTTAAGGGATCTATAAGGGTTCGATGAGGGTTTAGGGTATAAGGGTCCATGTACCCATATAGAGATGCATGGGCCCCAAAGTACCTATATAGGGACCACATTAAGGCCAATGTATATACTATATGAATACATGGACCCTTAGGGGAACATAAACACTTCAGGTTTGCGGATGTCGGGTCTAACCTACGGTTCCACGAGGCTCCATGCAGAGAAATGGAAGGGCTTTATAAAGGTAACTTTCTGATGTAGGATAAGAATGGGGCGCACTAATCGGATCCTGTTAGTGGATACATGTGTAGTAGGAACCCAGATCTCTCTCTTTATATATATATATATATGTATGTATGTATGTATGTATATCTGTTTTTTGTCTATAAGGCTTGGGGCTCAGGGCTTTGATTGCCGAGGGAGCTTCACGGATGGAAGAGACCCGGAGACTCCAAAGCCTATCCTAAAAGGCAGGGGCTTTCTTAAAGCGGTCTGTAAGGAATCGATAGTAGGGTTCTATAGCAAACTCATGCTCGATCTAGGTTAAGGGCTTTGGAGTCAGTGGGGCTATGGTCCGCTCAGCGGCGATCCATCTGCAAGAGCTCCGTCCCTGAGCAGGTAATTACACACACCCCTTACAACCATAATGAAAACTATATACTTAATCTTCTCTTGGGTTATATATGAACGAAAATACAAAATAATTCCTAAGGAGACTATAGGTATAGGTATACGGAGGTAAAGGCATACGGAACAAAAGGCTAACCTTTGGGAGTATATTGGGCCTATTTTTGGACTACAGTACCCCCCAAAAGGTTAAAGGTTACCAACTCTACTACTAGGGACTTAAGGGTTGTTGATGCTCTTCTCAACCGGAGTTTTACGGTTTTGAAGTAACTTATGATTTTTTGCGTGCTCCTAGAAGGTTTATGAAGTGTTCCTATGACTTTTGCTGAGAAGAATGAATTTCATGTTGCGATCTGATTACGATTGAAAACTGCAAACAGGTATCCCGAAGATTCCAAGTATACAAACAGCACCTTCTTTGGGGGTCTAGGTGGGCAAACGGCATTAGAAATCCTCTGAAACCGACCCAACACGGCCGAACCCGAACCCTAAAACCACCACCCCTAAACCCCTAAATCACCAACCCTGAAGGGGCCACTTGGGAAACTAGCTATCAGGATTCCTTTTAGGGTGCTGTTCAAGAGATTGCAGTTCATGAATCTGGGCGCTTAAGCCTTTCTGGGTTTACAGTAGAAGAACAAAAAACATGTTTCAAAAGTTGGAAACCCCATAGCCTCAATCCTTAAGAGTAATGTATAGGGAATCCCGGCACTATTCGGCCTTGGTCCGGTTTCCAACTTTAGGGGGTCTGCTATAAACCCCCTAAGCCCCTAAACCACCAACCCTAAGCCCCTGAACCCCAAATTAAACCCCTAGACCCTAAACCCCTAAACCACCAACCCTAAGGACCCCCAAAACGGTACCCCTAATTTTCAAAAACTCCCATATCGCTGGCAATCACTTGCCGTATCAGCCTTCTTCACGCTTTCTGTTGGGATGAGCTTCATCGGTCCTGAAACAATCCTCGTCGATCCACTTCAGCCCGAGTGGATCAACGCTGCAAGCCAGGGTGCCACAGTCGTGGCAAAATACACGGTTGTCCTGCGGCGAGGAAACAATGAACTTAGATCTGTCGGCGAGGTCCTGTTCCAGCTCTTCTTTCTCAATCATCAGCTGCTCTTTCTCTCCCTGCATCTCCAGCCTGTGGTTCACACTCTGGAGCGTCTCTTCCGTGTATAACAAGATGGCCCTGAAGCCCTAAACCCAAAACGAGCGTGAGACGGAACCGCAATAGAAGGACAGCCCAGTATGTTAATATAGGGGCTTTAATTCCTTTAGGATTTTGGGGCCATTATACTATAGTTATACTAATAAGGAACCCCCGCAACAGTACTGGTAATTATTAAGGCCCAGCACCCTAAACCCTAAACCCTCTCTAAAGCCTAAACCCTAAACCCTTCCTAAAGCCTAAACCCTAAACCCTAAACCCTCCCTAATAAACCCTAAACCCTAAACGGAAGGATCCCCAGTATAGTAAGGACACTTAACTATGGTAACACGAAGCTTGCGGAGCTTTGCCCTTCTGATGTATCACGAAAATCCATAACATGGGGCTCGGGGTTTAGGTTTCGGGGTTTAGGGGGTTCAGGGGTTACCTTAACCTACCAAAACTACAAAAAAGTAGGGTCCCTATAAAAACCATATTAGGGTTTATAATAAGAACCTACAAAAAAGTAGGGTTTGGTAGGTTCAGGTAGGTAGGGGTTAGGGTTTAATTAGGGTTTAGGGTTCAGTGCGGGGCCCGCACCACCCTTACCCCTTGCCGCGGCCTAGGCAGGAAAGAACCATCAGCCCAGCATCCACTGCAGGGCCAACCCTGGCGAATGGCTTCCCTAGTACCCAATTTTCAGAGTTCTTTTCCCGCTCAATACTTTAATCTGAACCGGTTGTGATGGTATTCGGGTCCTTCATCATTAGAATGTTGATTCTTGTCATCCTTTCTGGTGGCTTATCGATTCTTCGCGCCCCTTTAAGAAGCCAAACTGCAATCTACGTGGATCCTGATGACAAGGCCCTTCACGAAAGGGGGGATTGCAAAAAAACGAATCCCTAGTAACAGGTGGAGTTTGAGTTTGGTCATGTTTGTTGACATGTTTTTGTTGGGCTGGTTTTGCTTCTTCTTTTCCTGCCTATGTAGCTCCCTGCGTCCTATTTTTCGCTGCAGATGGTGCAAATCTGCTCCAGCATCCTATTATTCAGAATTTGCTCCCCGCATCCTAGCATTTACACAGGCTCTACTACTACGTGAAAAACCAAGCCAGATGAGGGTTCAGTTCCTTGCAGGGTTAGGTTGGGTACTGCCCCCCCCCCCTACAGTAACAGTCTATAAGAGGGCTTCAGGGACCTTCATATCTCTACCATGAATATTAGTTCAAGTGTTACTGAGTGGCCGCAGTATCCAAGGTTAAGGGGGGTGTTTAGGGTTACAGTAGAAGCCAGAAAGTTGGAATATCATTATCGTAACCCCTTTAAGGTAAACTATAGGGGATCCTACCATTAATCCATATTCCAACTTTCTGGAGTTCCCTTTAAGGCTTCAGGGTCTGGAGTTTGGGAGTTTTAAGGGTTCAGGGCTACTTTTGCAGGGGGGCCTTGATATCGGAAACGGTTTAGGGTTTAGGGTTTAGGGTTTATGCGGTTCGGGGTCTGGGGCAGAGGGTTATGGGCTGAGGATTCGGGATGTCACGGGTCAGTTGTTTCTGGTTTAACGGTTTAGGGGTTTCAAGGCTTAAATTTCGGAAAGCCGAATCCGAAAGAAATCTCAACACCCCTGAGCACCAACCGAAAACAAACTGCAACACCTCGAAAACGACGCGAAAGGTAAAAACCCTAAACTTAAGCCTAAACCCGAAAGTTTAATACTAAGCCCTAAACCCCAAACCCTAAACTTAAGCCTAAACCCGAAAGTTTAATACTAAGCCCTAAACCCCAAACCCTAAGCCGTCGCTCCTAAACCCACGAAGCCACGACCTGACTTTCCGTTGCTTGCTTGCGGCAGAACTCCAACCTCCTCCGCCGCATTGCAGGAATTCCGATTCTTCCACGGTTTTAGGGTTTAGGGGTTGTAGGGGTTTAGGGGTTTAGGGTTTTAGGGGTTTAGGGGTTTAGGGTTTAGGGTTTAGGGTTTAGGGTTTAGGGTTTAGGGCTTAGGGTTTAGGGTTTAGGGGGTTTAGAGTTAAGCCCCAAGCCCTCAATCTCGGCTTGAATGACGTCGGGAATATGCAGACTGTGCTGAAGGTGGAAGTTCATGGGTCCTAGCCGCAAGCCTAACAAGACCACAAGGCCCAATACTTATGGACTCCCCTGTCCCCTCAACCCTTAACTAAACCCTGAACCCTGAACCCTCAACCCTGAACCCGTAACCCTTGACCCTAAACCCCAAACCCCAAAACGCTCCATTAAATTGCCATTGGGGGGTCCTGGAAAGTAGCCCTAAAGATCCCTTAACGAAACTCTTGGAGGATCCCTCAAAGGAAACCAGATCCCTGAAAGGAACCTGACAGGCACCCTACGTAGTAAGCCTTCTAAGACCCGGCTTCGGCTTTTGGTGTCCTGACGAGCCTAAACCCTACACCCTGAACCTTAAACCCTAAACCCTGAACCCTGGACCCTGAACCCTAAACCCTGAACCCTGAACCCTAAACCCTAAACCCTAGACCCTAAACCCTAGACCCTGAACCCTAGACCCTACATAAACCCTAAACCCTAGTCCTGACGACACCAGCTCTGACATAGCCATGAGCCGCGTGTCTTCATCGACCACCTAAGCCATGTCGGTGGAGTTCGGGGGTCCGTAAAGGGGTCCCTTTAAGGGCTCCTTATAACGATTTAGGGGTTGAGGGTTTTAGGGTTGAAAGGTGAAGGGTCGTCGGAATGAAGCTCGACCAACCAAGCATGGTTTGGGTACTGCCCCTTATACAGTAATTAGTACTTAGTCTGTGATAATGGTGCTCTTAAGCGCCTTTAAGATTCATTTTTGTGGATATCATTCAGCCGTCGATGACTGGGGGCAGTATCCAAGCCATGGTGGTCGTAGGGGTGTAGTGGGAAGGCTACATTGGGATCTAGCATTCAGGATTTGGGGTTTGGATGCGTTTGGGTTTAGGAGTTGGGAGGGGTTCATATGGAGTCTAAACGAGTAACAATTCCACCATTGAGTCCTTGCTCAACCCATAGGCCGCGGACACCTTCTGTCGGAGAGTCCTGTGACACTGAAGTTTCGATTCACCACCCGCAAGTCCTGATATCCACACCGCTAATGTAAATATTTCGAGTAGGGTTCCATCGAGGGTTCCTGAAGGGATTCTTTGAGCATTTTGGAAGGGTTTCACAAAGGTTTTAGGGTTTAGGGGTTTAGGGTTTTGGGTAGTATATTGAGGCCCCAGTAGTTGGAAGAAGATTGATGGGTGTGCCATCAAACTACGCTTGGAAGATCATGGAACCTAGTAAGTAAGGTTGCGCGTACCTTAATTCAGGTTTTAAGTAACCATAAGTATAGTAGCGCCATGTAACCCCATAATAATCCTAGATACTAGTGGTACTTATTCAGGCCGTTACTGACCCTAAACATGGCTCAAGATGATATCTCATTGCTGGGGCTCTATCTTGAAATTTTTGGAGGGGGTTCAAAAATGACAAATGTTCTGTCGGGGCTTGGGCGAAACCTGACAGGACGCTTTTCCAAGCACGCAAAGTTTTAGGATCGTGGCGCCAGGAGAACTTGGAAACCCAAGTTCGTACCATAACTGCACTCTATAACCTGGAGCCCCTTAGCAAGCCCCTCCCCCCCACTCCAAAGATGGACACGGATCCAATGATGCACTCCGTAACCGTGCGGTAGTTATGCAGACCCCTACATGATGGGACCCTGTACTCACTGACGAACGCCCAAGTGCTAGAAAAGTTGTACTCTGAACCCGTGCTGTGGCTTCCGGCGTTGATGCGCTCTCCAGCCCCTTGTGGAGTTGGGCTTTGAGGTGAGGGTGTTAATTTGGGATCTGGGGTTTAGGGGGCATACGACTTGGGGTTGAGGGCTTTGAAGATAATCACGTGCGATGGTGGCCGAAACCGTCGTTTATCAGAGCAAGCGGCATGACTGAACAACTGCTACTGGCATCACCTTCCGATTCCCAACATGCCCCCAACCTACATTCTGTTTCTGAGAGCTCTGTATTTGGGTTATTCTCGATCGGACTAAGACCAAAAAGAGCTGGGATTCCCTATACAATACTCTTAATGATTGGGGCTATGGGGTTTCCAACTTTTCGGCTTTTGCGGTACGGAACAATCCGGCGGCCTTTCTGCATCGTGACGGTGCGGCCGGCGGCAGATACCTCGCGACTTGGAGGGGAGGCTCGGCCCCTGACCCTAAGAGTGAGAGTACCCATATGTGGGGACCCTAATATCGGTTAAGGGTTGGGGGTTTAGGGGGGTTCCGAAAATAGGGGAAATGTACCTTAAATTAGATGGGACTTCATATTATATTTTAAGCTATATTCCTTGATTAAGGGGTATTGGTCGAGATCGCTAAGGGTCCAAGTAGTCCTTGTTTATGATACCTGAAAAGGCCCTAAAGTCCCATAATAGGGAATACTTGGACCCTCAAGGGATGGCAACAGACTATCAGCATCCGCGAAATGGACATGCTGAAGTCTTTGTCAAGAATATACCTGTTGGCATTGAGCTGCAGCCGGTACTGCATGCCGGCACAGTCATCTAAATGATTCAAAGGCGGCCGCATTATACTGGGCGAGCGGTATTTACACCGCAGTTTTGCGCTTCTCTTCCAGACGGCAAGGAGAAAAGTTCCGTCCGGAAGGTTACAAGAGGAGACCAATTAGGGTCTAGAAGTTTAGGCTTTGGGGTTTTAGGGTCCGGGTACAAGTGCAAACGACAGATCAGCAGTGAAGGTCGCAACTCTCACGTTTCGGCAGCTGTATATGAGAGGCCGTCGAGCTGAGGGCACAATTGCACTCGGTGCAAATCGAAACGTTGTCGTCCACGATGAGGAAAGCAGGATATCGAAACAATCGCCTGCAAATATCCAATTTGCCTACTCGGCCTGTCCTTTCCCTGGTTATCACAGCCAGGTCTGCCTGTCGCTGTCCCACGGCCTGGATAAACGTGTTGCGCGCAAAGTATCAAGCCTCGTCAGTGAGGCCTGCCCTACCTCCCGCAGCAGACGAAGAAGGTGGCGGTCCAGGTGGCTCAACAGGTATTATTAGGGGCCTAAATAATGACCAATACTATTTCGGGGGTTCCTTATTATATTTACAATTTTCTGGGCCCCAAAACCCTATTCCGGGGTGCTTCTTCTGCGCAGCCTTAGGCCCTTTTCGAGCTGAGGACTTCACCTTCACCGTAGCCTTACCCGGGTCCAAAGTACCGATATAGTAGAATGTACGGTTTCTATATTAGGAATTACTATTATGATTTGGGGAAGTGTTCCCCATAACAGTACATAGGACCCTTTGGGTTAGGCTGCTGACCTCACCTTTGGCGTAGCCTTGCAAAAGTGCCGATCGCCATGCAGTTGCTGCTTTGCTTGCTGTTAGCCTTCGCAGTTGATGATAATTGGATTTTCCACCCTAGCTAAGGCCCAGGTGACTAAATGGTAAGATTTTCGGCGCAAACGAATACCGAAAGCATTTGGGAGAACTCTACTGCCTGGATCCTTAGGGAAACTTAAGTAGGGGTTAAGTTAGATAAGGGTTGCATTGATAAGCCTCAAGAGTAGTGACGCCAGATTAAAATCAAGATTTCGATGCCCGAATCAATCCTAAGATTTTGCCTGGCCCATGGCTCTTGCCTGAGCCCTGAGCTTGAAGTGCTGCAATGCACATAAGTAAGCAATATATGGGCCTTGATAATAAGAACAGGGTTTGGGGGTTATATATAAATTAGAATAAGAAACCCTTACAAGAGTATAGGTAACTATTAAGGCATGCTTGTGCAGGCAGGAGGGTCTGTTTCTCAAGGGTCTATGCTGCCCGAAAAGCTCTTCTGAAAACCTTACACTTTCAGCCAGAACTTTGTCCGTTAAACCCTATCCCAGCCCCTGGCCCAACCCAAATCCACAGACACGTGTCACCTCTTATCCAAGCATAGCCTCATCCCGAAACCTGCACCCTAAAAACCGAGACCGTGTATCTAATCTAGACCTAAGAGTCACCTAGGAACAAAAAAGGGTGCCCTTTCTGGCTTAAAGGGTGCTATAAGGGAACCTCAACCTTAAAAAAACAGGGAATGAGGGCCTACTCTGCGTCCTAGTCAGTACTTCACATCCTAAACTCGAGCCCGAACCCTGAACCCGAAACCCTAAACCCCACGCACACAGACTAGGTTCTTGAGTAGCCCCATTATAATAAGGGTACCCCTACCTGGACCTACCAAAACCTACTTTTTTGTAGGGTCCCTATAAATTCCATATTAGGGTTTACCATAAGAACCTACAAAAAAGTGGGGTTTGGTAGTTTAAGGTATATCCTACTATTAGGCAACACTAAGGGCACCCAAAAATAGAAAGAGCAAAAGGGTACCACTCAGTAACCTAGCAGATCCCCCTCTAGTCCCACTCTGAGGCCTCGAAGGACCCGCTGGAACCTTGTCGGAGCACACCTGGGCCCGTCGATTGGAAGGGTCTAGGGTCTAGGGTGTGAAGTGTAGGGTTTAGGCATTAGGGTTTAGGGTTTGAAGTGAAGGGTTTAGGGTTTAGAGTGAAGGGTTTAGGGTTTAGGGTTCAGGGTGTTGGGTTTAGGGGTTTAGGGTTTAGAGTGTGGGTTTTGGGTTAGCTGGACCTACCGCTGCTTCTCTTTTATAGGGACGGGAAAAATCCATAGTAGGCTTCATACTGAGAATACAAATGAGAAGAACACAATATAAGACTTGTCATCATAGCAAGAACATAATCACAACAATAAACATGACAACCAGAACAACAATGGACGAAACACACAGCACAACAACAGCAAAAGTCTAATCAAAAAACTAACAAAAATGCTAACAATGACAACACAAATAACAATAATGCTAGCAGCAATAATAATGAGAAGCACATACCAAAACGACCAGGTTATTGTAGTTGAACCCTAAACCCTAAACCCAAAACTAGTTGAACTAAGATTTCGAGTTTTTAGGCATTCGGGGTCCGGGAGTTGGAGGGTTTAAGGGAGTCGAGGGTTTAGGCCCGTTCAGGGGTGGAGGGTTTCTGGCTTTAGGGTCTCTACTTGGAGGGTCTTTAGGGGACTTAGTAAGTAGGTAGTAAGTAGACTTATAAGTACCCTAAAAGGGACCCTAATTGGGGCTATGGTACTTATAAGTCCCTAAAATAACCAGTTACTAAGTCCCCCGACCCTCCAAGTAGACTCTAGGGGTTTGGGAGATCGTGGTTGTGATGGCATTCCTGTTGATAATCCTACTACTTAGGGTACTATATTTGGGTCCCCTATTTCCCATATGAGCCCTTACAACAGAGCCCTTTAAAGGAACCCTTATAGTACCCTGACATAAGAGGGTTTTGGGTTGAGGGCTTAGGGACCGCAGGCTTAATTTCATACAGATAATGCGCAGGCACCCTTGCATGTTCTCCGACAACATCACGAAGGTCCATGCACTCATCCTGAACTTTGAACCTGCATCTCCAAACCTGCAGGAAAGGTGGACTACGACTCCATATTGACAGGGTATAACCCCTACCCAGACCCCAGGGAGGATCCAAAAAGTAGATCCCTTAATGGGGGGGGGGTCCTATGAAGTAGTATAGGGCCCCAAATTAGGGGATCTACTTTCTAGATCCTCCCGATATTCTGGGTACAAACCCTAAACCCTTGAAACAGCAGGTTGTCGGATACACGAGACCCTAAACCCTAAACCCTAAACCCTAAACCCTAAACCCTAAACCCTAAACCCTAAACCCTAAACCCTAAACCCTAAACCCTAAATCCTAAACCCTAAACCCTAAACCCTAAATCCTAAACCCTAAATTCCCAGCCCTTCTGAAACCCAGCCGGACACCAGGTTTCGGGCACCCGAACCCTAAACACTGCACAGACTGTAACTAATGTAAACTCTAACCTTTAATCAGAAACGCCCAAACCCTACCCTAGGGGTCCATGTACCCCAATAATTAGTATATACCTTGGCTTTAATAGGTAGGGTACTTTGGGGCCATAGTATATACGAGTTCATGGGCACGCGACCCTTCGGGTTTGCCTGAATTTCAACACGCGCTTAACATTACAAAGGACCCTAGTTTACAGAACTACCAGTAGGCCCAAAATCCTCTGCTTGGTTTCTTCGAACCGACTTGGCAAGGCTTTGGACACTGCGAATGCCTGAACACAGCTCTATTGGAGCCCTTCACCATCTTTTAGATTCCACGTGGGTGGTTGTCAAAACTATGGTCCCTTTTTGGGTACCCTAAGTATTCGGTGCCGTATTATATTTTTGGGTACCCTAAATATTAAGTGCCGTATTGTGAATAATGACCCCAAAAAAGGACCCTAATTTGGACCACCACCCACGCGGAAGCCGAGTCTTGACAAAAGCTATTGAAACCGTAAACCCCCAATCGCCAACCTCGAGTCCCAAAGCTTAATCATAGGGATCCTTAGGGGTGTAGGGGGAGGGGGGGTAGGGGGCCTTAAGGCCCATAATAAGGACTAATAAGGCCTATTTAAGGAAATATAGTCCCCTACACCCCTCCCCCCTACACCCCTAACGATCCCTATGAGCTTAACGTCGCTGAGGCTAGCCGCGAGATTGAAAGGACTATGTGCCTTAAAGTAGAAGAGAAATGATGCATAATCTTCGTAAGTAGAAAAGGCTTTCGGGGTACGTTGCGGTATTCGGCTAAATATAGAAGCCTAAGCAGTTGCATTCCTGATTTATCGAGCTTCTGATTCTGTACTTGCCTAAAACCACTATTGAACCCAAATGGCCACACTTATCGCACACCTTGATTATATTAGAGCCCTGAAAGAACCACCTTAACCCTAAGCCCTTAAACCCGATAACCATAAAACTCGAAACCCCGAAGCCCTAAAATCCTTTTAAACCCCTGAAACCCTAAGACCCTAACCCTGAACCCCCCAAACCCAAAAACCCTTCACCCCTATAAGCCCTAAACCATCCTAAACCCAATTGCGCCCTGCGAGAAGTTGAGGCAAGCTGCCAAATTGTCGACCTTCCGAGCCAAAAATCGCAAAGCCCTGAGTGGATAGAACGTCTTACGGTATAGGAGTTGAGAATTTGAGGGTTTAGTGTTTAGGGTTTTAGGGTTTATGATGTAAGGTTTTAGGGCTTCAGTGTAGGGTTGAGGGTTTTAAGATTTAGGGTTACTAAAGTTTAGGAGTTTAGGGTTTATCTGCTGCAGGGCTCAGGATTTGGGGTTTGGGTCTAGGATGTAGGGTGTAGGGGATGTTTAAGTTGAGGGCTTAGGTATTGGAACGAGGTGCCCTGACCCATAGGCCCCAAAGGATTACCTAATAGGATTCTGAATATGAGCCCCAAAAAGGAACTACTTTAGGGCCTTAGGGTAAACCGAGGTAAACGGCCAAACGGAGTCAATGCATTGTTTCTTCGTAGCGGGTACTGAAAGTGTCTTAGAGGAACTTTGAAAGGCCACGGCAAGGATGTCGTATATCGGTGATCCGCGAGTGGTTCAGTGGTTCGGTGCTCGTTTTCTTGTATCATCAATGTTGCCGGGGTCCTGATGCACAATCTTTCGGGACATCTGAGGAATCCAAATGATCTAACCCAAATCATAAAGCATAGGCCGTTCGAGTGTGTAGCTCAGACTGGAACTCTAGAAGGGCTTCGACCTTTCACTGTGAAGCTAAGGGCTCTATGAAAGGGATGTGTGGCTATTCCTTTCAACTGAAGCGCAAACCCGAAAGCTCTAGTCAGCAGTGCACCTTGCTGAAAAAAAAGACGTCATCCTAACAAGCATGTATGTTTCCGTGAACGAAGATGTAACCACCGCGCAAACCCTTAAGCCCAAAGCCGCCCCTTCAAACCCGCAACTCAGCCTTCAACCCTAATTACTTCAATCCCAAAGCATCTTAAAACCCAAACCACACAAACACAAAGCCCTGAAGCCTTATAACGGCCTTAAGTGGAGGTTATGACCCTGGTCGCTTCCGAGATCGCGGCGGGCGTTGTCCTGGGCCAGGCGATGTCAGCATGTTTTTTGTGGGGAGGATGGCTCGTGAATGAGGGATGTTGCAAAGGGAACCAAATGAATAAGGGTTTCCAAAGTAAAAAATTGAAATACAGGGTTTCGTATAGGTTTATTGGGATTCAGCAAGGCTTTATGGGCTGCTAAAATGGTCGTAACAGGGCGGGGTGGGGGGGGGCCGGGCACTCCTACAATCCTGAAGTTTAGGGTTTAAGTTTAGGGCTGAGGGCCCAAAACCAAAACCCTGACCTCTCTTCTTCTTCTTCCTAGCAGCCGCTGATCTCTGAGGTCGTATACACTTTGGCCTTGAAGGGGTTCTGTTATCTGGGTGCTTTTCAGGAATGTACCTTAAGCTATGATAATCAATATTCTCCACTATAGATCCCTACTATAAACTGAAATTAGACTTAAATTAAATTCCTTCAGAAGAACCCAGTTAAGTGTACATCGGGTCAATGTATAAACCCTTCCATTACTAGGATACCCAGTAACCTAAGATTAAAAAGGCCTCTCTTTTTGGTATTGGGTAACTTTATAAGGAACCTAGGACTACAAAAAGGGAATACGGGTACTACTGGGCATCCTAGATTATGCACTTTCGGCCACCGGACCAGAACTCGAGTGCTTGGACTTTGTTTAGGGATCCATGCGACGGATACCCTACACTAAACTAAATAAAGTTGGAAACCAGGTTAAGGCCAAATAGTGCTGGGATTCCCTGCACATTACTCTTAAGGATTGGGGCTATGGGGTTTCCAAGTTTTGGGCTTCTACTGCAAACCCTAAAGCCCAACGGCCCTAAACCCCGAAGCCCCGACAGCCCTACAAAATCCTGAAGCCCAAAAGCCGCAACTGCGCATATCCCATCCACTACTGGAGCCCTGCTGTCATTCGGGTGGTCGTCAAAATTATGGTCCTTGTTTGGGTCCCTAATATAGTACGGCACCTATGATTTAGGGTCCCCAAAAAGGGACCCTAATCTTGACAACCACCCATTTTTGGCCGCCTACTTGAGCCTCAAGAGGATCCTTGTTTTCTTGGAGTTTGGGGTCTAGGGACACTCTGCTGTTTCGAGGAAAAGTAGCCTGAAAAGAAGCCCGAGAAGGCATCCTTAGAGGAACCGCCAGCCGAACAACTCCTAAGAACCCTGTTTCAACAACTGAAAATAACGCAAAGACAATTTGCAAAAACTCACACATATATGACCCTAAACCCTAAACCCTAAACTCATATATGTAAACAAATCCAACCCTAAGGCCCCTACTACAGGAAGACGCTTATTGAAACCCTTGAAAAATGAGCCCTGTAAACTAGGATGCCTAGGAACCTAGGAATAAAAAGGGCTCCCCTGTTTGGTATTGGGTAACTTTATAAGGAAGGTAGGACTGCAAAAAAGGAATAAGGGTACTACTGGGCACCCTAGTTTAAAGGATCCCTGAACGCCAAAGCCGCTCCGAGGACGGAACGGCCGCAGAGTTTGACGAAGTGTGCAGAAAACTTCGTCTTGCGGGCCTGGGGTTTAGGGTTTAGGGGTTTAGGGTTTAGGGTTTCTGGTACGGCTGTTGGGCTTTGAAGTATATAGGGTTTAGGTTATTTTGGAGTTTGGGTCCTTTTAAGGTGCGGGCCCCTTCTAGGGGTCAACTTGAAGTCCACAAGGAGTTTTGGGATGTAGAGCTTCTAGATATTTATCGGGTTTGAGATTTGGATTTGATGTGCAAGGGCTTTTGGACTTAGGCTTTGGGGGTGTAGGACCCTAAACCCTAAACCCTAAACCCCACTTTGGGTTGTGAGTTTCGGTTATGAGTACCGGCCACTTGCTGCTCAGGAGTTCGAAGGTTTCAAGCAGATTTTCTGGACGGAGGAGGGCTTTGGGCAAGTAACCAAAACCACGGTTTAGGGTTTAGGGTTTAGGGTTAACCCACCCACTCACCCACCCACCAACCCACCGAGAAAGGGAAGCAAGCAAGCAAGCAAGCAACCTACCAAACCTACCAACTTATCAATCTACCAACCTGCAGACCAAACAACCGAGCAACGAAATCAGCAGAACCAGAAACTCATTGCATGTGATAGCTTACCTTCGGTTAGTAGGGAATGGAGGAATGGGGGTACACTTATAACTACTATTCCTACCATTCTTCCATTCCCTACTAACCAAAGGTGCGATAATTCACCGGGGGTGCAGCGCCCCGATGCGGTCCGGACCATCGGAAACAGTTCGGCAACAGCAGCACTAGATCCGAACCCGACAACACCCAAAAGCCTGATCCCAAAACCCCTAAGCTTACACCCTCTACCTTAACCCTGAAGAACCTACCCTTTTAGGGCTCCTTATTGCGATTTCCTTATATAAGTCCTTAGAACGGTAGGTTATTCCGGGTTAAGGTATGGTTTAGGGTTTACCTGGGGACCCACAAGCCTACCGTTTTTCGGGCTTTCGACCCTCTAATTAAGAAGTCATTTTGTAGGGTTTGGGGTCACAGGTAGGGTTCAAAACCGTAACTATACAAGTATGCAGAATAGCCTCACACCCTCAGGCAAAGCCCCTAGAATTCATCCACGCCGGGCGCCAGGCTCAACAGAGAGAGGCGCACGCTATCCTGACGGCTTGCATAGAGGGTTCTGTATTTTGCAGGGCATGTAATGGAACTCCAGTTTAACCTAAACCCCTTTTAAAAGCCGCTATTGAGCTCTGACGCACCTGGAAGCCGTGTAGAACTGTCAAAGGGGGTTTCTATTGTTCAGTCGGGGACATCCTGGTAGATGCCTTACAAACCCTAAACCCTACACCCTGAACCGAAGCCTTCAAGCCGTTCAACCAAAGCCCGAAACCGTCAAGCCCCACATCATGGACTCTTCGACGGTTGAACGCTGTAGACCCTAACCTCCTAAGCGTTTAGGGTTTAGGGTTTAGGACTCCAAACGCCGGAAAGCCCAAACTGAAATTTCATGACCAGGAGACCAGAATATGCCAGACCCATAACCGCCCCAAACCCTAAAGACCAACTGTGGGGCTACCGTGTGTTTATCCCTCCAAGAGCACAAAACCTTACGGACCAAAACCGAGTAGGTCCCCTTTCCGGCATACTGTGAAACCAAATCTAGTTAGGGTTTAGGGTTTAGGGTATACGGGTAGTTCCCTAAGTTTGGCCTTTTCGGGCCTTTTTCATGGGTGCTGTAGGAGTGTCCAAAAAGGAGCCCTAATTTAGAAAACTACTCATCTGGCAACTGAACCTTGAACCAGTTAAGACTACATTTCGTCCACAGGGAACGAGCCCGACCCCCCACGCGCCTGCTTCGGCGTCTTGGTAAAGCGCGCCTCAAAGAAGTAAAAGAATAGGACTTTGACTGGTATATCTGTGTCTCCCGCAGGGTTACGTAGTACCACAGGGTTGGTGCCACCTTTGGCCTCCAAAACCGACCTTTTCCAGCGCTTGAGTTTGGGAGCCCGCACTTGCAGCCGACGGCTTAGCTTGCCCTAAGGGTCCATGTACCCATATAGACATACATGGACCCCAATGTACCTATATAGGGACTACATTAAGGCCAATGTATATACTATACATGGACCCTCAGGCTAGTTGAACCTGTACTTCGGCGTTGAGGATTTAGGCTCGGGTGTGTAACAGTTATAGGGCCCTCAAAGAGCACGTAAGCAAAACTTAGGATAGGGATATCTCATATAACCCCCCTAATAATCAACACCCAATAAGGTAGGGATATCCCGAAAAGGGGGTCCCTAAAGTTACAGTATAGATTGTGTTTAGCTGACCCTCTGTGGGCTGACCTCTGAGCCTGTCCGAAAACTGCAACATTTGGCCTCGGTCGGGCTTTCCTTCAAGAGGAGTTTAGGACCCTTCTTTCAGGGCTCCTTTAAAGATTTTCTAAGGGTTAATAACAGTAATCACTAGACCTTAGACCCTATAACTTATATGCTTGTTCGATTAGCAGTACAGTTTAAAGGTTCAAAACCCTGATAGACACCCGTACAGAGCTCTCACAAGAACAATACCGCCTAACTTCCAACCACAAGAGAGCCAACATAATACAGTGGCTTGGTTGCATTCGACCATAATTTCAACATGGACCAGTCTCGGTTTGTTTCGAGGCACTTGATTGATCAAACACTTCGAGACAAAGCAGGGGACCACAGCATTTCACCAGAGCGTCATGAAGAAATGTGCTTGGATATTAATATCCAACCTTGGGTCACACTGATATGCCGAAGCTTCCTCAATTGAGAGGTTTAGGAGTTTAGGGCTTGGGGCTTAAGGATAATTAGGATGTCCTTAAGGGGGGGTGGTCCAAGGGGGGTAGGTAACCTAGTAATCCCCATTATTCCCCAATACTCCCTAAGCTTCCCTAAGGTTCCCCAAAGCTCCCTAGTACCCTCCCCCCTTGAACCACCCCCCCTTAAGGATCCTATAAGATAAGCCGTATGTTAGACTCTCTCCTTGTAACCTCGAGTCCTGCGGTTCGAACCCTCTCACGCTGCCTTGAAGACGCCGACGCCCCGGTGATCATCCACGGATACCTGTGCCACATGGGGGGCTACCTAGAGACTCCAATACCCCTTAATTGAGGAATATTCCTTAACTTATGGTAGGATCCCTTATATGATTTAAGGTATTTTCCTTAATTAAGAGATATTGGAGTCTCTGGGCACAGGGGTCTGAAGGTCCAGGCTTCCGGCTTTCGTGCAGGAAAGCGGTTTCAACACGACTGCATCCGAAGCCCATGAGATAAACTCTAGACTCTTCTAAAGTGCAGAATCCCGAAGCCTCGAAGCTTGCTACCGATCCCTATGTCGAAAGACAGCCGGAAGATCTGGGACCTTGAACCGCGCCGCCTTATACCCAAAAACACCCACACCACATACCCTAAGCCGTCAGCCCTCAAGCTTGAACCCCTACATCCTTAGAGACTCAGGCTCTAAACCGTTTAGGGTTTAGGCTTTAGGGGCCCTAAACCCTTCATCCCTAAACTCAAAAACCCTAAACCCTAAACCCTAAAACCCTAAACCCTAAACCCTAAACCCTAAACCCTAAACCCTAAAACCCTAAACCCAAAGCCCTCTAGAGCCGGGCCTCTTGGCCCGCGGCATCTGCCAAGTTCGGCAGAAAGAGCACGCACCTCATCGCTTCTTGGGGTGTCGGGTTAGGGTTTAGGGTTTAGGGTATCTGGGGGGGGGGCTAAGCCGCCCTTTGATCCAGAATAGAAGTCGTATTCTTACCAATCCCGTTAAGTTATATAAGAAAACAATACGTAATCCCTAAGAGCAGTAAAGTAGGGGCTAAGCATGTAGGTAAGGCTGGAAGACTTAAGGTTTAAGGGTAAAAAAGGAGCCTTCAATATATAAGACGAGGATTTGGGGCAAGGAGAGTAGGTCATAACCTATCTGCTGTTATATGGGAGTTTCCGACAATAGGGGACCCCAATATAGTACCCTAAATAGCTTAGTAGGACCCTTATTATAAGGACCCCCAAATAAGGTACGCCAGGATGTGCATGCTCAAGCCCGGGATGATTCTTCTCATCTTCCTGGTGATCGCGACCGTCGACGTCCACCAAACGCACGGGTAGATGAGAGCCACCATCTTACACTCCCTCGGCAGGGCCAACGTTGACAACACCAGCCCCGACACTTGTACTTGATCAACCAATCAATCAAGGTACCTAGCAACCTGGGCATTGTCAACCTAGAACAGGCTCCTGTCCAGGATGACACTGATTGCACTCGGGCTGTCCCCGTCCATTGCTCCCTTGGTACCCTTGTGGGGAGGATACACTTTGTAGGACTGGCGGTTGAAGATTTGCTGGCCTCTCAAACCCCAATTACTTACAGCACGTCCAGACCCACAGAAGCCCAGCTAGAATGGTAAATTGCACCCGTAGAGCCGTTACTTAGGTTGATGATAAACATCCTGCATGACCCATAATAAGGAATGTACTATAAATCCCATAGTTTAGGGTCCTTAAGGTAATGCAGGATTTATATCATCTAAACCGTCTAAACCCTAAACCCCAAACCCTAAACCCTAACTCCCAATCTGCCAACCCTCAACACTTAACCATCAAGTTGTCAGACCCAAATGGGAGTTTCCGAAAATTGGGGGTTCCTTATTTTGGGGCCCTTATAATAAGGATCCTACTATTTAGGGTACCATATTGGGGTCCCCTATTTTCGGAAACCCTCAAATGGACCCCGGTAACACCCTAGAGACACCTGACTTTGCACACCCAAAAGCCTCGACCCCCTCAGCCCAAAACCCCAACCGCCCCAAGAACCCTAAAAAAAACCCAAACTCTACAATCTACATCCCTGAGCCCAATAGTATCGGGCTATAGTTGACAAGGGGATGTTGCTTTGAACCTTAACACCAACACACCTCTCGAACCCTGAGAAGCCTCAAGGGCTCCTTCAAGGAACCCTTAAGCCCTAAAGGGATCTTAAGTCATTTAGGGTTTAGGTTTAGGGTTAAGGTTTAGGGTATCTTAAGGGCGCCTTCAAGCGCTCCCTTTTTGGGACAGCAGAAAACCAATTCCCTCCGTGCTGAGACGTCAGCTCAGTACCAACAGGAACTACGAGGTCTTCACACACGGCCAACCTGGCCAAGTCGTGTCTACGGTGTTCTTCAGGGTTCTGCATAAACATATATATATATATATATATCTATATACATATATATATATATATATACCTATTTATTTATACATATGTATACATGTATAGATGTTTATACCTACGTACATCTATATATATATATATATATATAGATCGGTAGATAGGGATTTGTGGTTCTTGGCTCTTCTCGAGCTCCGCTTTACTTCTGCCCAATCGTCTGAGCAACCTGCGGGTTTAGAGTCTAGAGTTATGAGTTTAGGGTTGAGACTTACGGGTTAAGGGTTTAGGGTCAGGGTTTGGAGTTGGTGTACGGTTTGGGAAATAAGGGTTACGGGCTTAGGGCCAAGGGCTTAGGATTGAGGGCCTGGCAAAGTCGCGTAGGTCTTGGGGCTTCGGGCTTGGGGTCTATACAGTGCTTCCAACTAAAATCTCACTTCTTCACTAGCCGGGTCCCCCAAAAAGGACACTTAGGGTTTAGGGTTTAAGCTCAAACTTTGTAACTATGTAATCAAGATAGACCAAAGACGTGCGGACAAGAAGCTTCAAGTTCTGCCGGTGCCTGTCTAAATCTGCATAGCTCGCAACCCTGAAACCCGTAAATGAGGTGGCTTCCATCCAGAAGCCTTAAATCCTAAACCCTGAATCCTAAACCCTAAACCCTGAATCCTAAACCCTAAACCCAGAACCCTAAACCCAGGACCTTAAACCCTACACCCTAAAGCCCAAAGCCTCAACCCTAAACCCTGCCAAGCGTGGCCGGGAAGGCGTTTCTGGCTCCTCCGGGGGGTGTGCGGATATTTAGGGAGGGATCCAACAACCTACTGTAAGGACTCCTATAGTGGATCTATAGGGTTTAGGGAACTTCCTGAGGATCCAAAAACCCTACTGCTTTGGGTGTTAGACCCTTTCATTAGCGGGTCATAACCTACTACGGTTGATGACATAAATCCTGCATGACCCATAATAAGGTATATACCATAATTCCCATAGTTCAGGGTCCTTAAGGTAATGCAGGATTTGTATCATCAACCGTATGTTGCAGGGTTTGGGGATGGAGGTAGCTCTTTGCTTGTGTCAGCACTGGGCAGAGACTCCAATATCCCTTAATTGAAGACGAAACCTTGAATAATTATAGGGGCCCTGCTATGATTTAGGTATATTCCTTAACTAAGAGATATTGGAGTCTCTGGGTGGGCAGAAACAACATGGTATGCGTGTGTTTGGGGCTCTTGGGGTAGAGGCGTCGCTGGCTTAGGCCTTCAACACTTTCTGGTTCATGGCATGGCTAAACGGGTAACTTGTATCCCTGACCACTACAAGATGTCATCTGCTTCGGAAGGACGAGGAATGGCGGGAGGCGATTTCCGGCTTGAATCCTTGAGAGTCTAGAACTATTCCCTCAATTCACGTGGGTGGCCAACTTTCTCTGTGGTCCACATGTTAGGGTCCCTCACTTCCATGTTTCTGGCTTGTCCTGAAACTAGTTCATGGTTGGGATAGGACTAACTATCTAAAGTTGTATTCCTTATTTGGGCTTAAGTACGCATGAAAATGCAAAATGTTACCCAACTATGACAACGGAAAGCGGGCGTCCTCCTAGTTTCTGGGCCACGATTCCAAGAACCATTGTAGTAACCGTATGCAGCAGGATGACCCTCGACAACCTCATTGTCCTCACCCTCATTACCCACACCCCGGGGAAGATCCAAAAAGTAGATCGGGGGTCCCTAGAAAGTACCCTTAGTAGTATAGGGCACCAAATTAGGGGATCTACTTTCTAGACCTTTTGGGGGTCTGGGTATGCTGGCAAATATCACCGCTCCCAGTGAGACGACCGCAAGCTATGATAATCATCGGACATCTGACTCACGATTCGGGAAGTCAGTGTTTTTCCCACAACGCTCCAAACAACCCAAAACCCGACTTTAGACGCCGAAGTAGGTAAAAGTGCTCACTTGCAAACTCCTGCCTGTAGCATCCACAACCTACTTTGCTTCACGAAGCGTGGCAAAAGACCCTATTGCAGGGGCCTTCATAGCCAAAATAACGGATATGTTACTAAGGAATATTACTCATGTTTCTTGGTTATCCCTAAACGTTGCACCCTAAAACCCTACACCGTAACACACAAAACCCTAAACCCTAAACCCCCCAATTCGTATACTCAACCCCAAAACCGAGGGTGGCACCCCAGAGGGAGGTAAAGAGCTCTGCGAACCGAGCTGGCTGCCTAGGCGGCACCCAGGCTCAAGGGCTCTATATGGTTAGTTGTCAAAATTGTGGTCCCTTTTTGGGTACCCTAAATATTAGGTGCCGTACTATATTAGGGACCCAAAAAGGGACCATAATTTTGACAACCACCTATATTGCAGGGTTTAAGATTTTCTCTACCCCGCCCCCGCCCCCCCCCCCCCCCCCCGCAATGGCCCTTTAATGGAGCCCTTTTGGTCCTTGATAGTGGGTAATTATGGTCTGTTAGAGGGTAGTTGGGGGGGTCTAAGGAGGTTTGCTTTGAGGGTGTAAGGCTTTCTTTAGGTTTATGCTTTATGCTTTTGAGCTTCTTATGTTTAAGGCTTGGGGTTTAGAGCTTTAGAGCGTGCTGCTCAAGCAGGCTTGGGGGTCTAGGGCTTCAGCGCTTCGGGCTTAGAGTATACTTGAAGGCTCATGGGACTTAGTAAGTAAGGTTATGAGTAGGTTATAATTAGGATAACCCCACTTAGGGGACTTATAACCCCAGTTATAACCTACTTACTAAGTCCCATGATCCTCTAAGTATTGAGCAATACTAAGGAAGGCGCCCAACACACCTGCACGGTTTAGGGGTCCAGGGTTTAAACCCTAAACCCCCCGCTACTCAACTATTCATAGGGCCTCTTATCTGTCAACCCTGAAAAATTTTCTGACATCCCAGAGCCTCCAACATCCCCTAAGTAAGGAATATACCATACCTTAAATCATATTTGGGATCCTGCTATAATTTAAGGCATATTCCTTAATTAAGGGATATTGGAGTCTCTGGGATCCTGCCAACAATGCTCGGTACATTTCGAGGATGGCCTTTTGAGAAGCGGAGCTTCCATCCTCCAAGAGCCCAACAAGGGGGGTTTAAGGTTTAGGGGTTTAGGGTTTAGGGGTTTAGGGTTTAGGGTCTTAGGGGTTAGGGGTTTAGGGTTTCGGGGGTTAGGGTTTAGGGCTTGGTTGAAGGTACCAACATCGACTCAAGACTCAAAGCCTCAGAGTCTGATACTTAGGACATGAAATCCTACTTAGAGGATCATGGGACTTAGTAAGTAGGTTGTAACTGGGGTTATAAGTCCCCTAAGTGGGGTTATCCTAATTATAACCTACTTATAACCTTACTTACTAAGTCCCATGAGCCTTCAAGTAGTGTTGGGATCCTCGGACGTAACTGGAAGTCTACGGTACATCAACGACTGATCCACCCAAGTTAGCATTCTTCTAAGATTCTAGTGCCGTGATTGTGGTTGTGGGCAGAATCTCAGTCGTGAAGTGAACATCCCGCCCTCGCCGCCCGAAAGCATCCAATTGCCCAAACAGACAAGAAATACTGCCCTAAACTGCCCTCAACCCTGGAGCCTAAACCCTGAACCCCAACCCTAAACTCAAAACAAGAAATACTAAATACTACCCTAAACTGCCTTCAACCCTAAAAATAAACCCTGAACCCTAAACTCAAAACCTTAAACCCCTAAACCCTAAGCTTTGACTGCAGGGCCCGCACTTGGCCGCGGTGCTCGCGTTGCAGCCTCGGGGCTTTAGGGACTCTCGGAGCATGACGCCCTGAGCCGAACCCTACTAGAGGGGCTCCTTTAAAGGGATCTATAGAGGGTCCTTTAAATAAAGGGATCTACTTGCAAGGTTTAGGGTTTAGGGTCTATAGAATAGGGCTCCTGTAGAGGATTCCTTTAAAGGGGCTCTGTAAGGGATCTATAGTAGGGTTCTATAATATAA